GCCAATTAAAGGACCAAGTATAGACATCAGATATTTAGAAACATTGTAAGTGACAGAGTTGATCGTGCTAACAATGGGTTTTACCGGTACCTGTTTGCGCATTTTGGGTAAACCATACAGACTAGGAGTGGCCTCACCTGGATAAAGTCTATGATACAGAATCCGATTAATAGCCTTGTCCGTAAGTGCATACTGCCACAGTAAGTGCTTATTTGTCACATTTGTTTACACTGTCTAAAAATAAATATTTGCTGTTAGTACAACATATAAACAAAGGAAGATAATAAAAGGTTTGAAAGGATGATCCAATCGGGTCTTAAATCTGGTCGAAAGAGTTTTAACAGTAATGGGCATCTGTGTCTCATAAGAAGTCAGCTTTCAGAGTTGTGAAGATACAACGTACAGTGGAGGCTTGGCTGTGGCAAAATTGTTTGTGGCGTTCTTATTCACCAACTTTTTGTTGCAGTTCCATGATTTTATAGTAATGTCTGATTTGCAATTTCTTATCAAGCCATGGTTACCCACCAACTCTGGGCTGTCTTCTTCCTTTCAGTGCATGTAAGTCAGACAGAATTTGCACAGAACAAGATTTTGGTACAATACTGTTAGGTCACTGTTTGGGCTGCACAATATCAAAAATGTATCATTGCAGTATCAGTGAGTGCAATGTCAATATCACAAAGGACTGCAATAAACCAAAGATCATATTTCAGGTCCAATGTTTTCAGGTTCTGCATGCTAACAATATATTTAGTCAAACAGACTTAGTATTGATGTACACACCTGGTGATGACAGAAAAGTGAGAACTGGAAAAAATGTGGGTTGATCGCAACTGATATTGTCGTTAGATTATTAAACAATCACATCATGCATAGGTTTTTTCGTCGTTTTGTGCAGTAATATCTTCTATTTGTTTTATGATCCTTTCAGAGTGGAATACAGAAACCTCTTCATTCAAGCTTGCAGGTATTTTTTTTTCTGTTGCCTAGAAATGAATGAAGCAAAAATAAGCATAGCACCAGGCATAAGAAATACATTTTTAGAGTAAATTAACACCTTTTCTCTCATGCCTGATTTGTTTTTGTTTATCAGAATGGAGTTTCAGAGGACTCAACCAAATCCAATCCTTTTTACTTATATTATTTGGTATGTGCACAGATTTCTGCTTTGTTATATGATTTGACTTGTTTTGATTAAACATTTCCCCACTGATGTGTTCTGGTACCAGGAGTCAACCAACAACATTCATGCAAAGGAGGATGATGGAAGGAGATATTCAGGAGCAGCAAATGGTGGTGGCATCTTTCTTCCACCACCGGACTATGATGACGCACCTTTGGATCTTGATTTTGACAGGACTGTGGGAAATGGAGGCAAATTTTCTGAACCTTTTGATGTGTCTCAGACCTACAAACATAATGAAATCCTCTTCCAAACAAATAATATGGACCAGAGAGCCACTGCTAAGGCTCTTTCACATGACATATCTCTAAAGTCCCCAGAGACCATTAGCAGAAATACAGCTTCAACACAAAACTTGTCTAAACCCTGGCATGGAAATGGCTTTAACACCCAACAAGATGGCATTGGCGAATATTTCCATACAACAAAAAGAGAGAACACTGATGGTCCTGAGGATGCTCGGTCTCTACAAACTGTTGCATCAAACCCTTTTTACAACAACAAAGAAGCAGAAGCAGATTTGTTTCAAGCTGGTTCAAGTAAACGTGATCAACCTTCTTGTGATACTCCAGATAAAGAGAGAGAGATTTTTGACGATCCTTTTAAGAAACATTTGGACCCATTTTCATCTTCCTCTGTAACTTCAGTCGATCCGTTCCCAAGTCCACTTTCAAGGAATTTATTTAACATCTCCAGTTTGGATGATCCTTTTAGTCCCAGTCCTTCTAAGCAAACAGACCACTTCCAAGATGTTTCAAGTGGCACATCGGACATCTTCCAACCACAATTCTTAGATGCTAAAGAAACCTCCAAGTCTATGTTTTTTACACCTTTAATCGATAGTCCTTCAGAGATGAAGTTCAGCACGCCAGCGTTAACAGGTCCCAAGAAACCACCAAAACCTCTTCCACCCAGTCGGCCAAAGCGACCCAACACACAAACAGAGCTGGTCTTGACGAGTCCCCAGGGAAGCCAACAAGATCTTCTTCAGTCGACTCCCTTCACTGAGTCCAACAGTCTATCTGCATCGCCCAGCCTCTCTCCAATTGACATGCCTCCAGTACGTAATGGTTCGCATACAAGTGGCTAGACAAATATGCACGTTTTTTTATGCAGCATGATGCATCTTGTATACAAACTTCCATATAATCACTTGTCCAGGTGTCGACTTTTAAACGTCCACCAAAGCCACTTCCTCGAACTCGACGCCACAAGCCAGAGGTACCGCAGAACCCAGAGAGGCCGGCACAGCCACAAATACCACAGAAGCCAGACCGGCAACCACAGCCAGAAGTCTCTTTGAGTCCAATAACTCTGGTAATTACAACTTGAGTAGTATTTCTTAGTTTTAGTAGTATTATGCACATTTTCTGCTTTGCCATTTACATTTTTATATCCTAATATTTTAGATTGAAAAAGAACCAGATGAGCGAAAGCCCTCTCCTAAATCACTCCTCAAACTGCCACCAAAGCCACCCAAACCAGTTTTGCGCCTTAAACCAAGGACTCCAGTAAGTTGATTATTCTCARTAAATCAAAATGTTTGTCTGGATAGTATACACAGTTAGTACACAACACACCCAACCCTGCAAAAATATTTCCATTTTTACCATTCTCTAAGTATGAAATGCTCTTTTATTTTTACTGTATGTTGATGACACTGTGATGTATTAGATCACATCCACACCTTTTTAAGCACTTGGTTGTCAAGTAGAAAAAGACAAGACCAAACAAATTATAGTTGGTTTATAAGATGGTGAGGGAGCGAACACCTGCTGGTTTGATTTCAAATTAGCTGTATGTGGGAAAACCTCTGCAATGCTGTTGATCACGAACAACTGCAGAAAGGTGATGAGAGGTGCCTGTCTGGCAGGCAGTTGTATCATATAAGCATCACTTTTGTGGCAAAAAAAATCTATATATATAGAAAGGAAAAAACAAACAAAACGTGTATATTGATTCAATAGCCATGGCATAGATCCTAGCCACATGGAAACCTACAATAAAACCTCTGTCAACCCCTATCTGCTGACATGTTTCCACTGTTTTGGCTCCAGCAACAGCTTGATAACACTAAACAATTTTGATGCCACTACACTTTGGTGTCCATTCTAAACTTGCCAACTGTCTTCAAACTGAATAATTTATACACATTCTGCCTGAGTACTAAACTTTTATTTTCACTGAGTGACCCATTACTAATATAAAAACATGATGATACTTAACTGTTTGTCAGGCATTTCACACACAAGTGGTCAATTTTGCATTTTTCAGTCCACTCTTTTTTTCTCCCCATAATTTTAACAGGAGTATAAACCAGTGGATCCTGAAAACTATGTTGTCTTAGAGGATGTTTTGCTTATTGGGCAGGTGAGTTTTATAAATTCTCATTTGGAAACAAATAATGAAAGTGAAGCATTGACAGTAAAAATAAAATGCTTTATTTGTTACGCTTAGTACAGTGAAGGAATAAAAGTTATGATTTGTGGACATTCAAAAATAAACGACCTGATTATTTTTGGGTTTTTATATGAAAGTAAACTGTTTTATTGAATTAAAATAATCAGGAGCAGTGTGTTGAAGACTGGCCTGAGGACAGCCCTGAGCTCAATCCTGACTTTAAACCAGTAAGAAAACATATTTCTGAGCAAATCTTGAATTTTTACTTTTGCTGTGATTCTTTTGTGCACATTGATTGCCTGACAATTTTCTTTTTTTGCCTCTTTTTTTTAGTCTGGAAAATTTAAACTACGAAGAGAGTCGATGAAGGTCAAAGAGGGTTCAATTATAAATGTCGTTATTCATTGTTAATCCAAGAAAGGAAGCTAAAATTTACAATAATTTTTAGATAAAGCTGGAATCTGATGGAGCAAGCATTGAGGATCTGAATGGCTCTGGAGGTCACTCAAAGGTACGCTCTTAATTCTCGACTTTGTGTTTGTGTTATCTTTATGAAGCTGCAGCTTCACCTCAAATGTAAATATGTTTCAGAAAAAAAACAGGAAGTCACGGAGGTCACTGCTCTCTATAAGAAGACCAAAGGTACACCAAATCTAACAATCTTTTTGTGGCTCTTACCTTTTTAACTTGCATAGTTTGGATTATATTCCAATTATGATTGTGGAAATATTTATTGTTTTAGGACCAGTTTCATAATGATGCAATGGATGAGAGGAGCAGCACTCAGCCCATCATGGACAAATCGCCAAAGGTAAAAGCCAGTTTGTCAAAAATTAAAGAAGTGTTAGCCCCCTTTCATACTGGGTGATGACCAGTGTAGAAACAATAAATAARACTCATCTGAATATGGATGGTTTTTGCAGGTCTTGAGAGGTCTTTAGCGGGGGATTAAGAGCAAAGAGGGTTCCCTATTAAAAGCTGTATAGTAACCCTGGTCCTCAAGGACAACTATCCTGCAGGTTTTAAATGTTTCTGTTTCAACACACCTGATTTAAATAAATGATCGATGAGTGAAACATGAAGTGGCTACTGTTCATGTTACTCAAGTGGAAAGCAAGAGCTGGTGTTAAAGATGTAGATTTAGATTTTAAAAAGCAGAGGAAAAGGGAATGGCTCTCGTGTGTGTGTGTGTGTGTGTGGGGGGGGGGGGTGGCAGCATGTTATTTTGCAGCTGAATTACGCACAGGAGTCAAATTCAGATTTAGACTTTTAACTGTGAAGATAAAGTCTTACACAATCTTCAGCTGGACCAAAAACAGATCTTTATTGAATCACTGCTGTAGTTTGTTTCCGGTACCAAAAACTCAGTTTTCTACATTTACTTCAATATTGTTTAGAGTAAGGCATTTTTTTAACTAAGCTGTCCCTCATAAGTCCAGTCCAGTCTGTTCTGAGACAATCCATGTCACAACTGAGCGTATACTACTACTTCATCACAGTACATAAATATATATATATATAATTACACAACTGATAATCAAAAAATAGACAGCTTAATAAAAGCATGTACTGTATATGTTTAGTGCATCAAAAAATTGTTGAAAACTGAATAAATTACCTTCAGCATAAAAAAAATTCAAGTTTAGAATTTATACACATCAAAACGTGAAAGATGAACTTGATGGATTTTATTTTGTAGTATGTTGCTTTAACTTCAATTAGAACTAAAATGAACCAACTAATGTTTGTGATAATCTTTATAGCTGTGTGTCTTTTTCCAGAGATACATTTATTGAAAGGAACTAAAACAAGTTATTTGAACTTGTCAATGCTGTTTTTATTTTTTCTGGTTTAAGGATGGTTTAGGTGCCTTTGCAGGAAAAAATGAGGATGACTATTACGGCAGCATTGACTTTAAAGTAAGTTAAGTTTTCTGTGTTTCTGCAGTCGTGAACCAAAGTATTTATTTATTGGTTAAAATTTATTATTTTTCTCTTTGGTCATCAGAAAAAATCTTATACTAAATCCAAAGTCAATAGCTTGTTTCGAAGAGCGTCCACTGCTTCCTCTGCATTGGAGGGAAAACACACGAATGGACATTTGGTTCACGAATCAAAGGTGGGTTCTAGAAAATGGGGATTTAGCATTTTCTTATTTATTCAGTTTATTTTCACAATGCTGCAATTAATGTAAGCTGATCTGAATGTGGGGAAAAAGAAAATCTGGTTTTCCTACATCACTGACGAGTGTTCTCAAACAGAACGGTGATGCAAAGATRAACGGCAGCAAGAGAAGCAGCATCGAACGCACACACTCTCAGGTATCTACATGTCTGTCAACATATGGATTAATAAATGAAGTACAAAATTATATAAAAATTATTTCGATTCTCCTGAAAGTGTCACACATACACTCTAAAAAGGGGGGCAAATAAGACATTTGTGTGTTTTTTTCAGAACACAAATCTGGACTACAGCTTCCCTGAAGAGGAGGAGGAAGAGGGAGGGGAGTTTACACAGGTGATTATTTTCATGTTATACAAACAAATACTTTTTAAAGACATTTCTGAAGATACAAACACAGATTTGACAATAACCTGCTGTTGAATTATTCTCTGCAGAAGAAAAAAGGCAAAGGGAAAAAGTTTGTGCCACAAAGAGGATTTGCTCTCATGAAACAAAAGGTATTGCATCACAAACTGTTTTGAAAAGTGATTCATGAGTAAAAATCCTCCGGTGTCTTATTTATTTTTTATTTTGTTCATGAACAGCCTGAGGACGAACCTAAAGGAGCTCACGGGTACACGCCTCGTCCAGGCTCTAAGGTAGAACCATAAACTGCTGACAGGTGTTTGTGGAATGAGGATGTTCAAACGATGTCACATGTTGGGATTTTTACCTCCCCCTGCAGGAAAAATCACTCGAAGACCTTGGTGCTTATGGTTTTACGCCTCGTGACAAGTCTAAGGTGACGATCCGCTTCAGTTCACAAAATATTTCAACTAAAAACTTTACCTTTCTGCACATGAGGGTAAATACAGGTCCTTCTAAAAAATTAGCCTATTTTGATAAAGTTCATTATTTTCTGTAATGTACTGATAAACAGTAAACTTTCATAAATTTTAGATTCATTGCACACCAACTGTTCAAGCCTTTTATTGTTTTAATATTGATGATTTTGGCAAAAAAGTAAAGAAAAATCAAAAATCCCTATCTCAAAAAATTAGCATATTTCATCTGACCAATAAAAGAAAAGTGCTTTTAATACAAAAAAAAAAGTCAACCTTCAAATAATTATGTTCAGTTATGCACTCAATACTTGGTTGGGAATCATTTTGCAGAAATGACTGCTTCAAYGCGGCGTGGCATGGAGGCAATCAGCCTGTGGCTCTACTGAGGTGTTATGGAGGCCCAGGATGCTTCGATAGTGGCCTTAAGCTCATCCAGAGTGTTGGGTCTTGTGTCTTAAGCTCATCCAGAGTGTTGGGTCTCGTGTCTTAAGCTCATCCAGAGTGTTGGGTCT